TTCTGAACATAATACATTTTTTAAAAATCCTATTTTTAAAGCCCTAAATCAAGTTTTTAAAACTCCTCTTAATATAGGAACTCTATGTCAATTTGAAAAGAAGGACAAGTCCATATTTAAATGATATACTTTCAGTATGTAATATCCAGAATGTTTCTTACTGCACCATATTTCTTTTCTCTAAGATTAGGTGTAAAGAACCAATTGAATTAGACTCTATGGTTCAGGCTACTTCTGTAAAAGGGGACTTTTGGAAGGAAACTGGCTGCCAACTCCATGTTTTTGTTTTTTCCAACACTTACATTGTGCTTAAAGCATTCCAGGCACTATTCTAAGTGCTTCATACACATTTACTCACTTAATTCTGACTATACCCTCTCATCTAGCTACTTTTATTGTTCCCATTTTCAGATGAAGCAACTGAAACACAAAAAGGTTACATAACTTGCTTCAGGTCCCAGGCTACTAAGTGGTGGATCTAGGTTTTCCCTTCCAACAACACTTTAGCAATCAAATTTTTCCTCTCTTCCTTTTGCTTTTTGTTTTTATTTCTTTAAGACATGATCTCACTGTGCTGCCTAGGCTGGCCTCAGACTCTGAGGCTCAAGTGATCCTCCTGATACCAATGATAGAAATAAGGAACAGGTTCTTGAAGATTAAATTCTTGAGAAACACTGAGGCAAGCGTAGAAAACAAGTTTTATTTAAAAAGAGACAGAGGACAGAGGTAGCAGACTTCTCTGGAAGGAAGGGGGCCCAAGTCTGCGTGCCCATGGAAGTGGGTGTGTCTTGCTTTTCTAAAGACCCCAATATACCCCTCACCTTCTGTTTCCTCCCCATGTGTCTGTGTGTCTAAGGGCAGGAAGGACCAGCACAGGGGGTAATCCTTAGTAACTCCAGGGAAGCATGATCAGAGGTTAGCTGTTAGCAACCCATTGCCCCTGGTCTGGTCAACCCCCATCATCCATTACCTACACTGACTGCCAGACCTTCCGACCCTGCCTTAGTTTGTTGAGGAATGTGACATTTCCTGTCCCCTCAGGCCAGGCAGTGCTTCAGGCAGATTGCTTTTTGGCAAACAAACCTTGTGGAGAGTCAGAACAATGGGCTCATTTATAGAATTATTCTCTTAACCTTGTGTTCCCACCATCCTCCTCTATTAGTCTCCTCACACTCCCACCTTTCAGGTCGCTGGGACTGTAGGTGCCCAGCACCACACCCACCTTCCAGGGCTTACTTTTGATCTACCGCACTACTCCGCAGCCTTCTGGCAGCCTTTCTATTCCTGACCCAGGATGCTTGAATTCAGCCTTGTTTCATATAACAAGTCTATGCAAAGTTACTTTCTTTTCTCCCCAAACTCCCATAGCACTTACATAGATACGTATACATGTACATACATACATGACACACACTCAATACCCAAAGGTTAGCTGGGAGAAATATGAAAGTGGACTTCTCAAATGCTAGCAAGTAAATAATGAACATTTTTGCCCATCATTTATATAGCATAAAAAGAAAAATATGACAACAATTTAAATACCTAAATAGCTTCTATTTGCTATTCTTGAATAATATCTTATTACTTGAAATAAGAGTCCCAATGAATTGAAGAGGGGGTTTGACTTTGTAAATAGTAACAGGCCAAAAGGAAAAAAAAAAAAAGGCAGGAAAAGAGAACAAAAAATTATTTCAAAATTACTTTCCTTATAGAGTTAAAACAGAAGGTACGTCCGTATTACACTGACTGGTTAACTAGATTCAAGATTTGTAGAGATCATTCTCTTCCATGGTCAAATTAATTCCTAAATAAAAAAAATTATTGTGAACGGGATTAATGATATTTTTTTTAGTGCACTATTAGTTTATAAAAGTGCTGCTAATTTTGTATGTCAACTTGTATCCTGCAACTTTACTGAATTAATTATTAGATTGAACAGTTTGGGGTGTTGTCTTTGGGGTTTTTGAAATATAAGATTGTGTTGTCTGCAAACAGGGAGAGCTGGACTTCTTCTTTTCCAAATTAGATTTCTATTATTTCCTTCTATTGCCTAATTACCCTGGCTAGGGCTTCCCCTAGGTGAATAGAAGTGGGGAAATTGGGCATCATTCTCTTGTCTCAGACTTCACAGGAACGTTTCTTCAATCAGCATGATGTTAGCTGTGGGTTTGTCTTCTCTGGTCTTCTCAACAGGACATGAAACATTCTCCAGAACAGATCATATTTTAGGTCACCAGAAAGCCTCAGTCCTTAAATTTCAATTATGTTTTCTAACCACAATGGCATAAAAGTAGAAATCGACAACAGGAGGAAATTTGGTTACTTTATACATACATGGAAATTAAACAATCTCCTCCGGAACAGCCAGTGGTTTAATGAAGGGGAACTTAAAAATTTCTTCAGACAAATGACATGGAAGTACAGCATTTCAAAACCTACTGGATACAGCCAAAGTCATTCTTAGAAGGAAGTTCATGGTAATAATCACCTACATCAAAAAAGAAGAAATATCACCAATAAACCACCTAATGATGTACTCCAAGGAACTAGAAAAACAAGAGCAAAACCCCAAATTAGTAGAAGGATGGAAATGTAAATATCAGGGGAGTAATAAATGAAATAACAAAAAATACACAGGATCAATTATGTGATAATTGATTTTTTAAAAGAAAAGCGAAAGCAACCAACAAGCAAGTAGAACAGAGAAAAAGAGAAAATATTGAAATAGATAAAATCACAGGTGAAAACTGATGCCACAGAAATAATGAGCATCACAGGGACTACCATTAAAAATTACATACCAATAAATTGGTCATCAGGAATGGATGAGAAATTCCTGGACACATACAGCCTACCAAGACTGAAAAAGGAAGAAACAGAACATCTAAATATCCATGAATGAGGAAAACGAATCAGTATTAAAACCTTTCCAACAAAGAAAAACCATGGCTTCATAGTTTCACTGTTGAATTCTACCACCTATTTAAATAAGAACTTACATTAATTCTTCTCAAACTGTTAAAGAAAATTTAAGAGGGGAGAGGACTTTCAATTTCATCCTATAAGATGAGCATTAGCCTGATACCAGATGAGTAGAGATAAAGGGGTGAGGTGGTGGGAAAGAAGGAAGGAAGGGAGGGAGGGAGGAAAGGAGGAAGGTAGGGAGGGGGAAGGAGGGTAGGGAGAAAAGATCTTAGAACTGTCTGGCAGTGTGTATACAGGGTAGACACAGAGAGAACTATCTGAGGACAAGGAGAACAGGTAGGAGACTACTGTGATGGCCCAGGTAAGAAATGATTGTCATATTCAAAATCTCAAAAGTTTAATTTTTACTGATGAAATTTCCATTTACTATGTTAGTGGCAGGGAAGGAAACACAACTAAATCTAAAAATAGATTATCCAAAATATTTGTGGGTGCTGAACATTATGGCCCATGCCTGTAATCCCAGAGATTTGGGAGGTAAAGGCAGGAAGATTGCAAGTTCAAGACCAGCCTCAGCAACTTAGTGAGGCCCTAAACAACTTAGTGAGCACCTGTCTCAAAAAATTAATTAATAAATTAATTTTAAATAATAATAATAATAATAAATTATGAGTGTCAATTTGTTTTACAAATCAGATACTGAGTCTTGAACAGATGTCCACACACCCATATGAACACCTTCCACTGCACTCATTCTTGACCACTTGTTAGATCAACTCTAGACTAACACCCTGGGAGAATGTGACTTTCTATGTCTTGACAAAAACAAGTCATTCAGAGCCGGTGAAAAAAAATTGTGCTTCCAAATGAGCTCGCTTCTTACCAGTTGTGTGTCCCCAGGCACATTGCTTACACTCTCTTTTGAGTTTCACTGTCTTCATAAGAAAAGTAGCTAAACCTTCCACAAGTTTGAGGACAGATTAGATGCAAAAAAATGTAAGTAAATTTTGGAGGGCTCATTATAATTCTGTTGTACTCCTCAGGTCTGAGTGAGCTAGACCCTCACATTTGGCAACATGGTTGTTCTGGAAGGTGTGAAGCAATACCAATCCCTGTCATCACAGCATTTTTCTGCTCAGGGAACCTTGGGATCTTCAGGAAAACATGTCCTCCTTCCCATGGAGAGCCCTGGCAGCAGCTGAGCTAGATAAGGGGAGGACAGGACAGGCCCTTGAAGGCTAAGTAAATGAGACCCAGTTTGTGTAACGTGTGGTTATCTGGCCACACAGGTGTTCCAGGGCCTTTCTTTCCCTCTGGAGATTGCTATCACAATGTTGCCAGAATCAGAATATTACTTAAATGAAAATTTACCTCCTCTGCAAGTTTACCTCCTCTGCGAGGCAAATTTGACTAGGAACTTCCAAGTCTGGCATTATTATTTTTAGGTGTCTAGGGTCTCTGTGTCAAAGTTGAGTCTGTGTTATTGAACCCAGGAAACACGGAATTCTTTTTCAGTGGGAGCTCTTTCAGCTTGCAATGCCATGGGGTGGGTGTCTGAGGGGGCGCCGCCCCAGTCTGTCGCCCTACTCTAGTCTGACCTTTGAATCTGCAACCCCAAGACCTTTAGGGTGAGTGTCTGAGGCTGGTGGAAAGCAAGGTTTAGGAGGTACCTTCAGCACCCTCTGGTATTTGAGAGCCTCCTGTGCATCCAGAGCACCGAGCTGCTGCACCTTCCTGTCAATCGCTGCAAAGGCACCAAGCAACAGGGGGTGAGTTTTCACTAAATTCTGTGCTATCCTATGACCTCAGGCAGCCTGGGAGGCAAATGGTCCCCATCAAGTGATGAACTAGAAAATGAAGATTATAATTAAAATTCTAGTAATATGGTGGGAGGAGCCAGATTTTTTAAATTTGGCAAGTGGCAGGAAAGGGGATTTTGAAAACCAAGTGTTACAGGAAAAATTATTTCCAAGTGTGACTCTTGTATATAAATAACATCCAAATCTCATGTTGAAATTTTAGTCAAGGATGGGATGTTTGGTACCCAAATAGTTCATGGAAGTCAGAGAACCACGATGACTTTAAGAGATGCAGTAAGTAATCTCTATTTGTTAACAATACTAACTGTTATGGCCTTGAATCTCAGTGGATTAAAATAATTAAAGTTTATTTCTTGCTCTGATAAAATCCAAAATTTGTGTTTTAGTTGGTGAGAGGCTTTCCTCTAGCAGGCCCCTTCCATCTTGGGGTTCTGCCAGCTTCAACATGGTCTGCAGGCTAGTGGTACTTGTCTGCCTCAAGACGTCAAAGCACGGAGGACCATGTGTGGGATTTTAGGAGTAGAACTGGAACTGGGGGGCATCCATGCACTCCCATGACTCACCAGAAGTGGCCACGTGGCCCCATCTCCCTGCAAGGTGGGCGGGGAAGGAGCGTCTAGTTCTGCTCCCAGTAGGAAGCTGTCAGCAGGCTCTGCCTCAGACTACCTACCCAGACACCCCCAGACTACCTACCCAGACACCCCACACTACCTACACAGACATCCCTCAGATACCTACACAGACACCCCCAGACTACCTACACAGACACCCCTAGACTACCTACACAGACACCCCAGACTACCTATCCAGACACCCCAGACTACCTACACGGACACCCCAGACTACCTACACAGACACCCCCAGACTACCTACACAGACACCCCCAGACTACCTACCCAGACATCCCCAGACTACCTACACAGACACCCTCAGATTACCTACACAGACACCCCCAGACTACCTACCCAGACACCCCAGACTACCTACCCAGACACCCCAGACTACCTACACAGACACCCCAGACTACCTACATGGATACTCCCAGACTACCTACACAGACACCCTCAGATTACCTACACAGACACCCCCAGACTACCTACACGGACACCCCCAGACTACCTACACGGACACCCCCAGACTACCTACACGGACACCACCAGACTACCTACACAGACACCCCCAGACTACCTACCCAGACACCCCAGACTACCTACACAGACACCCCCAGACTACCTACCCAGACACCCCCAGACTACCTACACAGACACCCCAGACTACCTACACAGACACCCCCAGACTACCTACATGGACACCCCAAGACAGCGGCACGGAGGTCTGCATACAACAGCATGGCTGATAACATTTCATGACTCACTGAGTTCAGCAGGACTGGATTGAGGGGAAGTCACTCATGTACAGCTGACATGACCGACTGCTGCTCGTGTCCCATTCCCTTCCCAGCTTTTGTGGATGTAGAAAATTGAATCTTTTCCAAATGTTCTAAAATAGGAACCTATTTCAGTTTACAGAATGACTCCCCATAGCCGCTAGTCTCTACAGTGGCGGTGCTCCTGAGCATTGTATAACAACACGAAAGAGAACTTTTCACACCTGCTGTTTTCTCATCTCAGGAGCACTGTGGAAAACTTCACCTCCTCTATCGGTATGGGCTTAACTGTGATTAAAATTTGGTGAATTTGGTCTTAAATCTGTTGGTCATATATAAAGAAAGGTCACCCTCCATATGGGTTAAATTTTGCTTTATTTAAAATGGCACTTTACAAATATCGTATGACATAGTAATTCTCCCCAAGTATAAAATCCTTCATGATACACTTGAATGACACAGATATGACTGTAACATCAGTGTAGCAATACCATGCATGAATACTGCAGAGATGCAAGACTTTGGTTCTTGGAAGTTTGTGGAGAGATGTTTCAATTTTGTTTGTTGTGTTTTGTTTTGGGGTTGGTTGGTTAGTTTTTGCTTAATTGAGTAAAGGAGGCTTCAAAGTCCTTTACTGTGAGATTGTGTTGGCAGATTTGATTGTTGCAATTGTGGAAAATAAATGGCTTTCCAATTTCATTTCCTTTTTATTTGTTCATTCATTCAACAAGAGAGTGCTGGTGGCCTGCCGTGAAACAAGCCCTGGGCTGAGTGCTCAGCCATGACAGCAGGGCCCAGAGAATTTCAGCCCCCCTCAGTTTACGACCCACCACTAGCTCCTTTCTTCTTTCTCAAAACCTCTTCCTTGTTATTGCATGGGAACAAGGACCAAGCTTTCATATCAAAAGAAGGGCTAGACAGCACTTCCTGAAGAACTCTCATGGCATTGGGAGGACTTTGCAGGAATTTCCCAGGGCACCCAGCCATGCATTCCTTCCCCATCTTCTGCTCCTAGTTTAACATTTTCTTTACCAAACATTCTTGAACTATCCTTGTAAAAAAAAAAATTGTTGCTTTTTTTGTACCTATAAATTTGGACAGAAGACTGAATTATTATCTGCTCACCTTGGACCTACACAAGGGGCAATTTCATATGTCTGAATCTAAATCTGGGACTGCCTAAGGCTGAATGATTCTGTATCTTAACATTACGATGTCCCAGGCAGTCTCAAAAAAAAAAAAAAATCCCGTTTAACCAATCTATCACTAACTAAAAAGTCTCAGTTCTTTTCTATCAAACACCGTTCTTTCAGAGTAATTTTCCCAGATCGCTTTGTTTTCCAGGTTAATTTCTATTTTCCTCTCTTGCTCATAGTTTCATCTAATGTTGGGGTCACTGACCAGACCTCTGTTCTCTCAGCAATGGCCCCAACTCCTTTTGTTACCTTTCCTACATGCTTTTGAGAAATAAAGTAGTGTAACATGGATATCAGATAGGTTCTTTGTCTCATGAATTCAAAGAATAAAATCCACGAAAACAAGGGTGAGGAGAGCAAAGTAACAGGATTTATTAGAGTAATAGAAAGAAAGCAGAGGTCCTGAAAAGGAGGGAGGGGGTCCCAAGAGAGGGATGCCCATATGCCCATGGATGGCTATTGCCTAGGGGTTTATATGGATGTATAGGTTTTTTTGTTTGTTTTGTTTTGTTTTGTTTTTGTACGCAGGATTGAACTCAGGGGCACTTAACCACTGAATCACATCTCCAGCCCTATTTTGTACTTTATTTAGAGACAGGGTCTCACTGTGTTGCTTAGTGCCTCGCTGTTGCTGGGGCTGCCTTTGAACTCATGATCTTCCTGCCTCAGCCTCCTGAACCGCTGGGATTACAGGCGTGTACCACCACCGTGCCCGGCTGTTGGATGTACAGGTTTAAGAAAGTCAGGCCCCTGCCCAATCCTGGGTAAGGCACTCGGGTCCACAAGGTATTTATGTAGCCTTTACTCCAATCAAAATATTGACCAGGCATCTTTCCTTTTTTGAAGAGGCGATGGACTCCAAGTCACTTATGCTGCTGCTCTGCTGCCCAGCCCAGAAAGTTCTCCAGGGGTCCATTTCCCTATCTTCCCTGCCTTATCTCTTCCTCCTGTCTTCAGTAGTTTTATGGAGTATTAACATGGGTCACCAAGTGCCTTTCTAGAAGGGACACTCTCTTGCAGGACTCTCTTATTAAGCTGTTTGAGAGGAAGGTGAGGGGACAGGAAAGCTGCAGGAGCTGGGGAGTCTCAGGGTTGGCTTTCCAGGAGGCTACTGTCCAGTCCCTGCAAAGAGTCAGGCTTCACGCTCATCCCAGCCCTCCCCTGTCTGCACAGAGAAGCACACACCAAGATAAGGAGCACTCAGATCCTTCCCCAAAATGACAGGACAGTGATTCTGAGCACCGCCTCGCCACATGGGAAGAGAACTTTCCTACCTGCCACTTCCTCGTCTTCCCATGGGCACTGTGGCTACCAGCTCCCCTGTCAATACAGGCTTATCTGCGATTAAAATTAGAAATATGACCTTGGAGCCTTCTCTCTTTTCATGCCACTTTTCCATGCCATGGCTCAAAAAGATAAGGCTGCCTATAAAAGGGCCTTTCGGTGTTGTCCAGCTGTCCGTGGAACCTGACGGATCTGCCATGGTGAGTGGGGCACGAGCTTCCCAGGCTGACTTGTTAGACTTCACCCGTTTTCTCCACAGACCTCAGTGGTGGGGGGCAAGCCGACTTTCCAAGCCTCGCTAGGCCACACTCAGCCTTGTTTTTGTCTTCATGCAGATGCTGCTGGTCTGGTCGCTGGCACTGCTGCTGGGAGCAGTAGCAGGTAAGAAGAGGCGCTGAGCTGGACTTGAGAGTCTCACTGCTCGGTCTGCTCCAGAAGGCCTTGGGGGCTGGATTCAAGCCACGAGGGGGGTCAGGAGGAAAACAGAGAGGTGCAGGATGGAGAGCTCAAGATCTAAGCAGGATTGCCGGGTAAAATCTACAATGCCCAGTTAATGCTGAATTTGAGATAAGCAGGAAATAATTCAAAGAGCAAATAGGTGACATATTTAGACAAAAAAATTCCCTGTTTAACTGAAGCTCAAAGTTGACTTGTAATTTTTTTTAAAAAATATTTTTATTAGTTGTTGATGAATTTTTTTAACTTATTTGTATGTGGTGCCAAGAATCGAACCTAGGGCGTCACACATGCTAGGCAAGTGCTCTACTGCTGAACCACAACCCCAGCCCCTTGACTTGTAAATGTAATTTCTGAGTCTAGCAGCCCTAGCATGGAGTCAAGGGAAGGGTTTGAACCTTGGTTGAGTCACCTACAACTCCATGACCCTGAGCAAAATCCCAGGCCCCTCCTTGCTTCACAGCCTTGTCTGTGAAGTGGGGAAATGACATCACCCATCTCCTGGGCTAACTGAGACCCTTAGGTAAGAAGAGTGGCTCATGGTGGCCAGCAGCTGGCACATAAAAGATGTGGAGGGATGCAGCCCTGAGACAGCTACTACTCTTACTAGTGCTATTAAGGGGCCCTCCCCCCAAAACCCCCCCGGAAGTGGCCCCCCAAGCAAGAACAAGCCAACCCAAAAGGGGGCAAAACCCAAAAGGTTGAATAGTTCCGCCAAACCTCCTCAACAAAAGAAACCAAAAAGGGGCCCAAAATTAAGGTAAAAAACCAAAAGCAAAAGCAAAAGGGAAAAGGGGAAGTCCGGCCCCTGCAAGAAAACTGAACCCCCCAACCAAAAGGCAAAACCAAAAGGCCACCCCTGGGAGCCAGGAGCCTCAACACATGCCCACCCCCACCACAGTTAGGACACAGGCCGCTCCATTCCTGGGCACCAGTGGCCTGAGGATGACATCTGGGTGGAGAAGCTAAAGTGAGTCCCTGCTTGGGACTGAGCAGAGACACAGGGCAGTGAGGGGGTCCCCTGATGTAGCAGGGAGGAGCAACAGCCTCTCCACCACAGAGGCACAGTCCTTTGAAGCTGCTTTGTGAGAGTATGAGTGGGAGGGGAGGTGCTTGGGAGAGTGAGGAAGGAGATCTGCCATGAAATGCAATTTGACACATATTTTGCCTGCGACGCCATTAAAGAGCATTCTGGTTAAACTAATATCCTTGAAACTCTTCTGGGTAGTTTCAGGAAGAGAAGTCTGCTATGACAGACTCGGCTGCTTCAGTGATGACTCCCCATGGGGAGGGACCTTGATAAGACCCCTGAAAATGTTGCCCTGGGCTCCGAGAACTATCAACACCCGCTTCCTCCTCTACACAAACGAGAATCCAAACAGCTATCAAGTAAGAATCCTCTTATTTGCAGCACTCTCTTCCATTTTTTAATGTTATGAGGCTATCTCTTCATCTATTTCATGCTTCTGTGACAGAACAGGTTAACAGGTTGGGTAAACTGTGTTACAAAATCAGTATTTATTTGATTCCCAGTACTGATGTAGGATAGAAGAAGCTGGGTATCCAAGGAACGGTCAGAAAGCAGGTTTGTTGACTGCAAGGTCCAGAGGGCTATTGCCTAAAACATTCTCTGGACCAAGAACATGGAAATTCTTTGAACTTTATACCCAATGGGAGGAGGGGCTTAAAGATTTATATTACAAATGCTTTTTGTTCCATTTTCTTTCTTTCTTTCTTTCTTTCTTTCTTTCTTTCTTTCTTTCTTTCTCTCTTTCTCTTTCTTTCTTTCTTTTTCTTACTTTTTTTTCTTTCTTTTAGACTAGACAGAGATTTTACAAGTTTGTTTGTTTTCTCTCCCAACCTGGCATTTACAAAACACAATGCCCTCTGCAGGAGTTTTTGTTTTTGTTTTTGTTTCCTGTTATTCTGTGTAAAAAGCTTTCTGACAAGAAGAGGAACTTATATGTTACAAATATGGTGGGGGTTTCTGCTAAATTATGGTAAGGGTCTTTTGGTGGGGGTCTACTTCAGTATTAGAGGCAGGGAAGTCAGGTGGAGCGTGGAAACTGCAGAAGGCTTTCTTGGTGCATCATAAGGTAGCAAAAGGCATCACCTGGTGAGAGAGTGGGAAGAGAGAACAAAGGAGGACGAGGGGAGGAAGCAGTGCTGCTTTGCGAAGAACGCCCCTCCAGCAGCCCACCACTCCCACAACAACAGTAATGCCTTCATGACAGCGGAGTCCTCCTGTCCTATCCACCTCTCAGTATAATCACAAGCAGAATTAAATTTCAACATACATTTTAGAAGGGACATTCAAACCATACTGCTCTGCCCTGGTTCCTCCCAAGTTCATGTTCTTCTCCCATGCAAAATACATTCATTCCATCCCAGTAGTCCTAAATGTCTTAGCTTGTTCCTGATTCAACTCAAACCTCCAAAGTTCAGACTAAATAAATACGGGTAAGACTCAAGGCATGATTCATCCCTTAAGCTATGAGCCTGTGAAATCCAAACTTATCTATTACCAAAATACATTGTAAGACAGGCCTAAGAGAGACATCCCCATTCCAAGTCAGAAAAATATGCAAGAAAAAGGAGCGAAAGGCCCCCAGATAAGTCCCAAACCCTATAGTGATAATAACATTGTCTTGAAACTCTAGCCTTTCACTCTGAGTGCCTCCTCCTGGACACAGGTATATGAGTTGGGCCTCCAAAGCCTTGGACTTCCACCCCACGACTTTTCAGAGCTCCATTCACCTGGTAGCTCTCAGAGGTTGGAGTCTTCGGACTACTATCCTTACAAACTGGTGATGCATTCTGGGAGCTCTGCAGTGCTGAGGTCTCTGGGACTTCCCCACTCCCACAGCTCCACTGGGCATTGCCTCGTGGGGTTTCTCTGTGGTGGTTCCACCCCACGTCACCATCTTTGCATGGGCCCCCAGGCCACCCAATGCTAGGTGGAGGCACATCACTCCCAGACCTTGTGTTCTATAAGTCTGAAGACTCAATACCACATGGACACCGCCATCGTTTTATTGCGTGTGCCCTCCATAGAGGTGGCTTGAACCACACCTAGGCCTGCTTGAACCAAAGCTGGGAAGGCTGAGGAGCATGGGGTAGAATGCGGGGACAGAGACTGAGGCAGCACTGGGCAGCCAGCCCATGGAGGGCACCCCTGGCCCACCCTAAACCATTTTGCCCCTATAGAATTACGGTGGTAGAAACAGCTTCAAATGTTTGAAGAAATGCCTTGGGCATCATTTCCCATTGTCCCAAAGAATCCCACCTGGCTTTCCTCTATCCATAATCTTCTTAGGAAAAAAACAAAAGGTCACTTGATTACATACTTGTTTTGCTCTTCATAATGACCCCTTTTCACTCTCTGGTACCCAGGATGCAAATTTTCTAAATCTGTCTGTTCAACTTCCTTTTTAACTATGAATTTCATCTTTAAGTCATTTATTTCATCTTGCTCTTCATCCTATATAGCAGTTAATAGCAGTCATGTAGCAGCCTGATGGTTTTCCTTCTTAGATATCTCATCTGCCAAATATGCCATTTACTGCTCTTAAGTTCTGTATTCCATAAAGTCTTAGGATATGGATACAATTCCGACAAGTTTTTTTGAGCTATATAATGAGGATGGCCTTAACACCAGTTTCTAATGCATGACCCTCATTTCTACCTGAGACTTGATCAGAATGAGCTTTACTGTCCATATTTCTCTCAATAGTCTGGTCATGACCACATAATAGCTAAGACTCTGACTTCCCCTGTAGCTGTTCTCTTCTGAAGACCTTTCACCTGCACCATTCTAATGCTCCATTAATCTAGAACAAGATTTTTCTAGACTGTTCCTTCCAATTATTTCAGCCTCTACCCATTACTAACTTCCAAACCATCCTACACATTTTCAGGCATTTTTATAGCAACAGCCCTACTCCTGGGGCCAATTTCCTGTTTTAGTCCAATTCCTGGTATTGTAAAAGGATACCACAGAATGGGTAAAAATTACAAAATAGAAGGAATTCCCAGATAAAGGATCTACATTTTTTTTTACTTATATATGACAGCAGAATGCATTACAATTCTTATTACCTATATAGAGCACAACTTTTCATATCTCTGGTTGTATACATAGTATATTCACACCAATTCATATCTTCATACCTGTACTTTGGATAACAATGATCATCTCATCCCACCATCATTAATTACCCCAGATCCCCTCCCTTGGATTTACATCTTGAGAAGTTACTATTGTTGCATCATGAGATAGAAGAAGGTATCACATGTTTAAAGAGAGACAGAATGGTGCAGGCTGAACTTCCCCTTTTATGAGGAGCCTACTCCCACAATAACCATTTCCACAATAATGGCATTAATCTATTTCTAAGAGTAGAACCCTCATGACATCTCTTAAAAGTCCCACTTGTTACCATCATCACAATGGCAATTAAATATCAACATTTTGAAGGGGATATCCAAACCACAACAGATACTAAATATTCAAGCCCCCTAAGGAGAATTAATCAGATAGTGGAGTTTGCATCTCTGTTGATTTTGGGGAAGATAAGCATAAGTATTATTTTATTTAATTTTATAAATGGCCCATTAACTTCATCATGGCTTTGTATTACTTCTAGGACACCTTAACACATATTCTAAGTAATGGAGGATACTATGGTTTGAATGGTCCCACCAAAACTCATGTCAAAATTTATTTGCCATCAAGAAGAGGGACCATTAAGAAGTGATTAGACCATGAAAGCTTTATCTGCAAAAATGGATTAATATAGTTATCTTGTAGTAGATTCCAGGTAAAGCAGACTGACTCTCTGTCTTATGTGTTCACTTGCTAATTCAAATTCCAACAAGGGAAGACAATACCAAGTCCCATGTCATGCTCCTGGAAAATCCTGGTCTATATAACCATGAGACAAATAAATTTCTTTTTTATCAAATTATCATAGCACCAAGAAACGGACAAAAACAATGGACAAAAAATACATATATATTATATGTAAATATAATATATATGTATATATATGTGCACATATATACATAAATATCATATATATCTTACATATATACCATATATACAAATCATTATATATGATTAAAAATCTCATATTACACATACATATAATATCGTATTATTGCATTTATCTATGAAATTTCCAAGTATATTATATATAATGCCCATATATACACGATATATATACAAATAGGAAGATTATATATATCACATATGTATGTATGTACACATGTATATTCATACAAAAGCACACACACACACACACATTGACACTCATGCACATAGAAAAGACCCTCCATTATGTGGAGATAAACCTTAGCACTGACATTATAGCAGACATTTTATCCCAATTAAACAACCAAAAAAATTTATGATGCCTTTACAGTAACAACTTGGAGATGACTGTGAATAGTGTGGCTGCATTGGATAACCTATACTCACAAGGATCCCTCGTCTGAATGGTGCTAGAGGGGGCTATAAGAAACTTGACCTGAAACACTTTTCTTCCCCAAACAGCAAATCACTGCAGATTCATCAAGCATCAGAAGTTCCAATTTCAAAACAAATAGAAAAACCCGCTTCATCATTCATGGATTCACAGACAAGGGAGATGAAAACTGGCTGGCCAACATGTGCAAGGTGAGGCCTGGTGAACTTGTACAGGAACCTTGTCTCAGGGGCAAGGAAGGCACTGGCCCCATCCGTGGAGGACAAATGCTGGTCCCCACCACCCTGGAGGATCCTGTGACTCTTGCAGACCCTGAGTTCCCAGGGGAGGTGCAGGAGAAGGTGGGGTGGAGGCACCTGGGACAGTCAGGGCAGTGAGGTGGGCAGGCATTTGGTGGCTCCAGGAAGTGATTATTTAATATCAATTCCAGGGGAGCTTCAGAACTCAAGCTACAGAGCTGCCTAGCAGATGCATCCCTGCTGTGTGCTCACTGGCTTTTAACCTTCACATGAAGAGCTAAAGAACTCGTTTTTACCCAAACTAACACTTTCCCTTCCATTTTCACTGGTTCCTCTCATCTCTGGTAGCAGTACTTAGGAAAAGCACAGTGAGTTTTCATTTTTGGCTTCTGTTATTTCAGCAGAAGTGATCCTGTTTCCTTTACTTTGCCTTTGGCTGTGTTACCAGATAATGAAGATTTTAAAGACAAATAGAAAAAGCTTTCCTATTAATGGCTAGTGTCTGAGAAACATTGATGCATTTATTTGCATATTTATTCTTTTTCTTTACCAAGTATCTATTGCAGCAATGACACAAAGCTGTCGTCATTTCCTCCAAAGTGTCAAGAAGACACAAAGGCCTTACTAAGCCCATTTGATTTCCCACCTGTCTCTGACCCCAGCCGAAGGCAGAACAGAGTTCACTCAGAGCATTTAGCTAGTCTGTTTAGATGAGCACACTGGAGTCCATTCACTTAGAAATAATCTGTAAAACCACAGCCTACTTTCTAAAACACTTTAAACAGTATAGGACAAAATATGTGATTCTTAACTGCAGGGAATATAACTTAAGATATTGCAATACATTTTTTTCTAAGATTCCAAGAGCAAATTATTGTTTTCTTTCATTTGCTTTGTATTTGGCAATAACGCTGCATTATGATAAAAAAAATTAGTGGATTAAAATTGATGGTCAAGGCCCTGGATTCCAGCCCTGACTCTATCCTACTTTACCATGGCATTAGTAAACCAGTTTCCTTCTTTAGATTTTTTTTTTCCTTCTGCAACACAAGAGTTGGGGGATGATTTCAAAAATTGCTTCATTATTCTTAAATTCTTTTTTAATAGTTTTTTTTAGTTGTAGATAGATACAATATATTTATTTATTTATTGTGGTGCTGAGGATCGAACTCAGTGCTTCACACATGCAAGTCAGGTGCTCTACCACTGAGCTACCAGCCCCTATTCTTAAATTCTTTTGGAGGGGAAGTTGGGATTATGTACAAACACTCAAACGATTTCTACCAGAACCACTTTTCATGAAACCATAATTGTGCTCTATCGGATTCTCCAATAGATACCTGGCAGGCTATGTTTTAGGGGAGGTAACTTCAGTGATGTGCAAAGAAATCGTCTCATCCAAAACTCTGATTAGCATTTTCATTATGAAAAAGCCTACTCCCTTACCTTCAGTGTATTTATGTATTTAAGGGGTAGGGGGGTCCTGGCTGACTCCCACTCATTCACTGTTTACTAATTGAGCACCTGCTCTGTGCCAGGAACTGTTCTAGACCCTGAGAATGCAGCAGTGAGAGACAGACAATGTCCTCGGGGGCAAGGGACAATGTAATATTATGGCATTCAAGATGTTCTAATGAGACCACCCAATCTGCCTTGTCTGATACTATTGTCTGAATCAGTTGTCAACCTATACATCTGTTATAGTAGAAATCCCAAGAACCCAGTTCCTGAGATGGCCACACTTCCAGGCTGGAGTCAATTTTAAACTTTAGGAGGGATTATTTATCCATTACAGACTTGACCTTTTGCTCTTAATTTAAGGTTAAAAGTGACATGATAAAAAATGTACAGATCAGGGAGAGGATTTGTCCTGTGCTCAAATGTGTTAATAAGCAATTAATAATGGTCTTGAATTATGTGCCTGTTTCTTGTACCTCTTGCATCAGAACATGATCCAAGTGGAAAGTGTGAACTGCATCTGTGTGGACTGGAAAGGTGGCTCCCGGACCGGATACACCCAGGCCACCCAGAACATCCGGGTTGTGGGGGCAGAAGTGGCCTACTTCATCAATACCCTTCAGGTAACTACATCCAGGTTATTGAAAACACTCATACCTATTGCTTTCTGGGTTCTCCTTCCAAAAGAAAGTTGTTGATATTCTAATTTTCTTGTTTAAATTTATTTTTTTAAATTTTTTGTTTTGTTTTAATTAGTTATACATGACAGTAGAATGCCTTTATGCACTTTGATATATCCTACACAGATGGGGTAAAATTTCTCATTTTTCTGATTGTACATGTTGTAGAATCACCTTGGTCATGTATATATAAAATGTCTATTTCCTTCTAATGTCCTTCCTATCCCCAATACCATCCCCTCTCCTTCCTGTACTCTCTCTACCTAATCTAAGGTAACTCTCTTCTTCCCTAGTGACTCCCCCCCCTTATTATGAATTAGTATCTGCATATTAGAAAAAATATTTGGTCTTTGGTTTGGGGGGATTGGCTTATTTCACTTAGCATGATATTCTCCAACTCCATCCATTTACTAGCAAATACCATAATTTCATTCTTCTTTAAAGCTGAGTAATATTTCATTAAATATATATACCACATTTCTTTATCCGATCATCTACTGAAGGACACCTAGGATGGTTCCATACTTTAAATTTATTTTTTAAGTGATACATTAAAAAAAATTGTACAGTATCTACAGATCATCATGTGATGTTTTGATATATGTATACATTATGTTGTGTTCAAACCAGAGCAACATATATATCATCAAGTATTTCATTCTTTTATGGTTCAAAATAATTTCTTCTAGCTTTTTAAAATTTATGAGCACACTATTATGCATATTCACCCTACTGTGCAATAGCACCAGAATGTCTGAGACCTTTCTATTGCTTAGAGCCTGTTGATCAGCATTTCCCTCTCTCTCCACCATTACTCTATCCTTTAGTAATCACCATTCTCCTTTCAACTTCTGAGACCAACTTCTCTATATTCCACATCTGAGTGAAGTCATGTGATACTGGTTTTTCTGTGCCTGGTTTATTTCATTTAATAGTTTCATCCATGTTACTGCAAATGACAGGATCTCATCATTTTATTACTGAATAATATTCCATTGTGATTGTCTCTTAATCCATTCATCAGTTGATGGACACTAGGGTTGCTTTCATTTTTTGGCTATTGTGAATAGTGCTGGAATGAACAGGTAGTGCACATGTCTCTTAATTATACCAATTTCAATGTCATCTCCTTTGCGTATGTGCTGAGGGACGGGATTACTGGATCATATGAAGCCTCTTTGCTGTTTTCCATGATGGCTGTACTAATTTACCTTTCCACCCACAGCATGCAGGGGCACCCTTTTCTCCACATCCTTGCAGGCATTTGTTATCTCTTGTTTTCCTGGTACTGTCCATTCTTACTGGAATCCCATTGTTGCTTTGATTTGCATCACCCTGATGATTAATGATGTTGAGCATTTTTCAAAAATATTCTTCTTGACCATTTGTGTGTCTTCTTTTGAGAAATGTCTATTTTAAGTCTATTGCCCATTTTTAAATAAGATTTTTTTCCTTTTTTTGTCTGTTGAGTTGCTTGAGTCCTTCTGGATAGTGAACCTTTGTCAGATATATGCTTTGCAAACATTTTCTCCTACTACTTAGGCTGTCTCTTCATTCTGCTATTGTAGTTTGATGCAATCCCATTTGGACATTTCTGCTTTTGATTCCTGTGCTTCTGGGGACATGTCCAAAAAGCCCTTTCTCATTCCAATCTAAATCAAATATGATAATTGACAGACATTTATTGTTGAAATATGGCCTTCCCGTTGATGAAAAATGCAAAGAAATCTAGATTTGG